CTTTGCCCCATGAAGAATGGGCGAAGATACCCGTAGATCGCTGCAAGACACTTGTGTCAAGCTATGCTTCACGTTTAAAAGCTGTTATAACTGTAAAAGGATGCTGTACTAAGTACTAAGATTGAATGTCACTTGGGGGTTGAATAAAACTGATAATGCTGTGAGCACAGAAAAGACATTTGTGGTTATTTCATTATAACTGTTATGTTATATTTGTCTGACCTACAAGTGCCTCTTTAATGTAAATGTAAGCAAGATGACTGAATGATCAAAAGCAATGTCAAACTGGCCAAAACACTCAATTTCAGTGGGGTTGAATAATTTTGGACACAACTGTATGTGCGGGGCATAAAACTAAAACCCTGAGATTATTATTTTTGTTTGGCACTTCACTTGTTGTTCTCAGAATCCTTAATTGTATTCTTTGTGTTCTATATAAGAGTCAGATCCAGCAATAACACCCTATAGAAGGAACCACCAAATGTAAACAAAAAAATAATAAATAATAGCAAAGTAAAAAGGCAGTTAGTATTTATGCTTTATCAATAAATGTTTATTATACAACATACAAAGCCCAATAGGAACACAATCATGTAAAATCAAAGTACACAGAGTATATTACATGGATCAAATATACTGAACTTTTTTTTTTTTTTTTAGAAGTGACAGTTAGTATCATTTTAAGCAATATAACATTGTTGCAGATATAGGGAGCCATTACAGTGAAATATAAACAGCAATCAAGAAACATTATAGTTATGCAGCATATAGAGTATAGATATTTGATTTTTTATAACACTGTATTTTAAAATAACGTACCACAATTCATGTTACATATTGGATCAGAGTGTACAGAGAATACACATAGTAAAATACTGTGCACACACTCACAATGAGTGTGTAATACAAGTATAGCCAGTGCTCCACCCTAAAGCTGGTGCAGAACTTCCTACACTGGTGGAACTTATCTGACTTGTAACTGTAAAGTTAGACAGTTAAGACAGGCATCACTTAATGTACCATAGAAGGAGAGCAACCGCCTAGTACCTCCGAGTGATGAAAGACAGTACTGTGTGGACAGCTGGTCACTCTAGTCAAAACCACAGCGTGGCGCTATCAACTAATTGCATACATGACAAACGGCATCCTACCACTGCATACTTTATTGTAGAAATCAGGCAGGTTATTATGCAGTTTGGCTTGTCAGCATAAGGATTGTTTTTAAAGGCTTTAATAGAGGCTTTAAAATATTTGTGCATGTAATACGATCCATTAACTGCTTAATGTCCGCTGCACACGAAGGAAACAATGATCGGAGCAGCGGCTAATCTAACATTATCACCTCTATCCTGTCATCCTCAAATCCTTGGTGCTTTCCAAAAACAGATCGGAGCAGCAGGCTAATCTAACATTATCACCTCTATCCTGTCATCCTCAAATCCTTGGTGCTTTCCAAAAACTCCTCACCTCAAAATGATTTTAGTGCACGAAACCAGAGCAACTTTTTTTGTAGATATACTGATGTCTTCTATGTTTCTACACTCTTCATTAATGCACATTTAAAATAGTTCAGCAATTGGATATATAAAACTCCTTTTAGAATAAAGTTATACGTAACGAAAGGCTTAAATTATCTCTCTTGGCGACACAAGCTAATAGTGTTGCCTGTTGGGATTCAGCCAACTTATTTATTAACTGTGAATGCACAACCAATAAATTAATGATGGAAACCCCAACCAAACTACTCTGACCTCTACATGTATTAGTGACCATGCATCAGAAGTCGACAAATTTCTGATTAGAGGTTACTGGTGGAGATCCAAAAACTCCGTATGAATACATTAAACAGCAATTAACGAGACAATAGAAATGTATCTGTTAAAATCTTAAAGTAAGCTAAAGAACAATTTTGAGGATCAAATTTAGCAGAAAAGTACAATTGTGTCTGCTATGCTTGACAAGAAAGCTTAAGATGGACCCAACATTTCATCCAAAACAGGCACTTGTGTGCACCTCATTATACTAATAAATTGTCCTTCTACTCATTAGTTTATAAAGTGCCCTGAGATGATACAATTTGAGGGAAAAGTATGTCCTGAGTTTATCTCTGCTGTTTTGTTTTCTGATGTCTGTCATCTGTCAGTGCAGACTGCTATGGATAAATGGAAAGTATTGTAAATTATAGTTCTCATTAACACCATCTGTCACATACGAAAGAATTTATACAAAGCACTTTATCTAAGGTTTATAGGTGTATAATAAACAGGTGTATAATAAACAGTTACAGAGTCCAATCATTTGGCAGCAATCATGTTAAAAAGTACCGCAAAACAACATTCGTTCACAATGTAGTCTTTGGACGTATTTATGCCTACGCAGCTAGCATGAATTTATGCTTTTTATATAAAGCCTGTCTTACAGTGGTCACCAAACAAAAGTAGGATTGACCACACACATAAACAAGCAATTGTTCCGCTGAAACAAAGGATTGGCTTGTGCTTAGCGTACCCATAATCATTTTAGCCAAAATCTAAACAAAAGCCAAGCGATAATTACATTGCAAAACTGTAATGATTTCTTCAATTACTTGTGACTTAAAGTGGAACAGGAGAATAGAGGAAGAAGGAGCTACTTCTACTTATTTATCCTGATCTCTGCTGATCCCTTCATAGAACAAAGATTAACAAGAAATAACAGGTAATGTGTGAAGAAGGAGCGATGTTCTTAATCTATACTTAGAGGCAATTCAGAGGAGCATAATGTGAACAAGAAAGAGGTAATAAACCATTTACATATACTAATGGCAGCGTATCTACAGAACAAAAACAATAACATAAACTTCTCATCTGAACTCTAATGTTATCTTGTCAAGAACAGGCTCCACTACAAACATCTAATACAGTAGACTTTCGTTGTATAACATAATGCAAAGATAAATATTGTGCAATGACGCACAGATCACATATCAGCTTTTACAAGTCTAATGGCACTAGTCTGTTCAAAGCTATTGGATTGCTATGGGTCACCTAAGCACCACTGGTATTTATTAACCTCTATTATTTCAGTTGTTCTAAATTACCTGAAGAATAACTCTATTCATTTTTCTAAGTATATTACATAGGCAATTATGTATGTAACTAGTATGTTCTTCTATACACTAAAGTCGTTTAAAATACTCATGGTAACATGATACAGCCACATGTCCATTTTTAAATCAAAGCTAGCTACATACACAATATATAAGTATCTTTTTAAACATTCTATACAGCGCATTCAGTCCTTGTGGTGACCTTGGCTCAGAGAATACTGAACAGTACTCCTATCTAAGTCTTCCAGTTCCGTTACTGTACAACCTGCACTTTTGTCTGTCAGTTCTATACAAGTACCTGTATCATCTCATATTATTCCTCTATTGCCCTTGAATATCTAGTCTTTGCTATGTCGGACACTACTTAGATGTCATTCTTTTCTGTACAAAAAATATTAAAGCTCTTTCACATGGATTCATATTAAGAATAAGAGTGAAAAAGGCTTTAAACGTCAAGGCTACAGAACATATTTCAGAGAGTTAAAGATTCCTTTTTTTACAATAGCAATCAATGACAAATCATTTTGGGGCTTGAAAATAGATACCATTACAAGCACTGGAAAAAGCCAATGCCAAGACTCAATGTACAATTTATTAACAAGGATATACCACTATGCAAAAAAGCTCCCAAAGTGATAATCAATGACAATGGCCAGGGATAGACAAATTCCTGCAGAATTCAGTATCCAGTCAGTTCAGTATCAACTATATATGTGTAGGTCCATGGCTACCTGATATCTGGGATTTGTCCAGCCATGCCATTGACTCATTAAAGAGCTTTTGAAATTTGGCATAATAAAAAACATACAGCGTACAGGTTTTAAAATTAAAATATAGCAATCAATATGCATAGAGGTTTAACTATTACATACACAAAAAACTAATATAATCTGCACGTGGTACCGAGTATTTGTATTTTCTGCAACTGAATACGACACTAAGACTCTCTCTTTATATGTTTATGCTACTTGCACATTATATAGAGTTATGCACATAGACATTGTATCCAGCACACATATGAAATGGCAGGTCACCTGTTACTGGTTAACCTTGAATTTCTGATCTATAAATTGTGACAAATGACTGTCATAATTATATTAATGTCATGTACAATTAATGGTTCAATTAAGTGGTAGCAATCATGTAGGTTTGTCTGTGCCAATGTATTAATTAATGGTACCATAACATGAAACATTTTCAGTACATTGTTAGTGAGTATTATTTAGGCTGATGTCTACGGAAGTCCACACTTGCCAAGTAGCGTGGTCCATATTTGGTATTCTACTTATTAGGAAATGGTAAAATACTAATGAAATTTTGGGAAACAAAACTGGTGCCGATGGCTGTAGTACTGAACATTTTGGATAACCTAACATTCTTTGCAATATGCTGTTATTGAAAATGCTTTCCCAGTAAGATGGTACATAAGATGTCAGACACATCCCTTGTGGTATAAGGCACTACACCAAACTGGAAAAGAAGGATCAATACTTAAAAGACATACTGGATATTAAAGACTAGATGAAGCATTTTTAAATTGTATGGACTGCACAAAGAGTAATCAGTAATTCACATCAACGCCAGTGTCAATTTTAGATTGACTGCCCCTAAAGCCACACCCAACCACAGCACAAGAATCAATGTACCTTTCCTGGATGCATTGGATAAAAATCTACATGTACACAGCATAGATGATGTATTAGTCAGAAGAAAACAATGCTGCCTCTTTTATTAAACAATAACAGGTTATCTACTTATGCCAGAATTAAAATACAACATGAATACACAAGATTAGTAAAGGAGGCATTAAGATTATTCAAATCAGCATGTTTCTTAGATATTTTTTTCTTAGGTACAGACTAACGCAATTTGTCCTCCGTGTCACCATGTGTTTGTTCTAGTTAGTTTTTGCCTATTCCTCGGTGCTCACCTTTCCCTTCCTAGGAACATGCCTGTCACCTCCAAAGAACCTGCCCAGGGAGTCAAGAAGGCCTGTGTCTCTGTATCTGCTGTGAGCTCCATGGCCATATCTAGAGCGGTCTGAGGTGCTTGCTGAAGCCATTGGTTTTGATCCGTGGCGGGACAGTTTCTGAGAGGCCATCAAATCCGTGTCTGGTGAAGTTGTTCCACTGTCCTCTGGGATGGTTTGAAGCTCATCTGACTCAGAAGGCCGATCTTTGAAGGTGTTGTCCTCCCTTCCTGGAGCATCTCGGGAAAATAGGCGGACCAAATGTGGGCGAGTGTCAGTTGTGTTGGCTTCCTTCCAATTATTCTGGGGGTCTTCTGTGCTTGTGGAGTCAGTCACCGCCGTGCCCTTGGATGAGGTGCCATTGTTCTGGTTCACATCTGCTGCAAATAATAAGAGGGAGATGTGAATGCAGGGCTGTGAAAAGAAAACAATGATTCCTTTTTTCCACTAGCCTCATCTAGCTATTTCATGCTAAACTCCAAGTATATGTTCATGGCACTTTATAGGAAAGACTTACACAAGGCAGAATAATCTAGAGAACATAGTTACAAAGTTTACTGTAGATTTGCATGTAGAGTTTTTTTATCATTTATATTATTTGTTACAGTACAACCCTGAATAAAATCAGATTAAAAAGGAGAATCTACAATTAATCTCAATTTGTCAAAAATGATAAAACCTTTGACACACAGTGAACGGGGGTATGCTGGAGTAGAAACAGATAGAAGCAAGTGTGACTTTATTACACAAGTACAAATTAGCTTTTGCTTTTTTAACATTGTACATTAAACCAAAAGCTACCAAAACAGAATGCTAGATCTAGAGAAAAGCAGAGGTAAATTAAGTGTGTACATTATTATCACTGCAATAACTGTTACACAAGAAGCCAACAGTCTGTCCTTTGTCTGTACAGACCAAAGCAAATGTATTATCATTAATCACATTTTAAAACAGTTTTTTACAGTGCACAATGTATAATGTTAATGTAGCCAACATGAAGAATTAATTAGGGGTTAAATCAAGTAAACTACCATCTCCAGGGTAGAAAAGCACAATGCCAGCATGGGACAGTCATCAGCAAAGGATGGTTCAGCTATGTTGCAATGTATTGAATTATATTTTAAAATGAAATTAATGATCACTCTGCTACAGGTCCTCTAGCTTCCCTTTTCAACATATACCAATTTTGTTCGCGGAAGAGGGCAGTATGTAGCACCACAAAACAATTCTTAGAACTCTGCATATCACCACTTCACCTACAGACATATAATAATTGCGTCCTATTTAGCTTGTGTGTATCCATCTGTGAATGTTTGAGATGTACACAGTGCATGAATCCTTCAGATTCTAAGCCCTGGCTCACTCCTGATCCGATTTTGAAATCGTGCAACTTCACTTCAAATAATTTCACTTCGCATACTTTCAAAGTTGCATGTCAGACGACTTAAGGTGTGACTTGGAAGATATCTGTGGAACTTCATGCACACATGTCTATGCAAGTTGCACCTGAAATCACAAAAAGTAGTGCAGGAATCACTTTCAAAATTGGTGCAACTCTGACTGAGTCGCACTGATTTGAATGGTTCCATTGCAGATAATAGGATGCAACTTGTCAAATCACATGGCAAGTCACGCTGGTGTGAACCAGGGCTAAAAGTATCTGTCCATCAACAGCCTCACCTCAGATTCTAAGCCTGTTTTCCAGCTACTGAGTGTGCAACATATGAGGTCAGGTAATTGATATGCCAGCAACTGTTTACATAAGCCCAGCACAACTAGCTCTGTTTAATGTGGGGCTTATCCCCTCTTTAGTAGAAGACAAGGTCCCTATGTATGAGAAATAAAGAAACTGATAAGACAAAGAGATCTACTTGCAGGTACAAGAAGGTGTCTGAACATTATCAGTATATGTAGCTTGTAGGCTGATTCAAGTTACCTTCAGTAAATATGTTGTGATGAGTGGCACAGGAGCTACAAAAGCACTCGATCTACTGATGACACTATCTAGGGAGTGAGTTTTTTTTAAGTTCAGGACAATCTACAGTCCAAAAGAAGCAATGAGGTTTACATAGTAAAGAAGTTGTGATTGTTCACATAAATTGGGGGAAATATTCACCCCAATTAACCCTTTGAGCTGCATTATTTAGACCAGCCTTTCTCAATCTTTTCAACACAGAGGAACCCTTAAAAAAACTTTCTAATCTCAGGGAACCCCGGCTAATAATTACTCTATCTACAATTCATGATACATCAGTAATGATGTAATGATAATGATCAGTGGGAAGAATGCTCCTTACACTTGTGAATAATTACCTCCTTACAGATAGATAAATTCCCATGACATGATTGATCTTTTTAGCTGAGAGTCAGAAATTGCTCATTGCTCAAGGAACCCCTAGCAACCTCTGGAGGAACCCCAGGGTTCCATGGAACCCTGGTTGAGAAACCATGACTTAGACACTTATACAAAAAAAAGGCATTGGGATTTTTCACTCCCATAAAGTTCTATATTTATGACAAGGAAAAAAAGCAGCCACTTTTTGACACAATGAATACTGGACGTTGGGTTGTTACCAAGTAGATTAATCTCAAAAGCTAAATTGTAATTCAACATTTAACCAGCTCAGGTTCTGACATTCCTAAAACTAGCTAATGAAAATCTCTTACAGTGGTACTTTAGCTGAATGCATGGATGAGATTTATGTGTTTGCTATATTACCTGTCGAAAGATCTGTGATTATGTTCAGCCACTCTTGTGATACACACTCCTCTGCTCATCGGGGGATGTCCTGGTTTATCACTGCATCCTAGGGTCAGATCCTTGCTCAGGGGACAAAGGTGTGATGCAGATACATTGTGTACAGTTAGGGGACTGGAGGTGTAGAGGTGACATAGGAAGCCGAAATGCTGAACCAAAAGATGAATTACTTATGCATGCCATACATTATACAATTTTATTTCCTGCAACCACGGGTTGCAGGTAAGAAAATTGCTTGATTTAGCATTCAATCAGTGTTGAGGGGGGAATCCCTCCCACAGTGCTATTGTGTTCTGCCGGCAAGGAGACTTCCCTGTTGGCAGAACACAATGATCACTGCTGGTGGTTATAAACCGTCAGCAATCACACGCAAAAAAGTCTGACAGGTTGGCTGTACTGAATCGATCAATGAATCAACTTCAGTACAACTAGTCTGCCCATTAATGGATTGAATCTCGGTCGCTCCCTGCTGAACCAGCCAAGATTTAATCCACCTATGGTCGACTTTAGCTGTGAACTGCATGTGTCACTGGTCTGGTGTGGAAAATGTAAGTAAATCAAGATTGGCTGAACAGTGGCAGGTAAAACATAAAATATATATTGTTTTCACATGTGTAATTAATGGCTTGCCTGAAGTTCAGTAAATGCAACTTACAATCAGGGGCGGACTGACAACTCATGGGGCCCCCAGGCAATAAGGGATCATGTGGCCCCTGTGTTCTTGCCCAAACTCAAAAGAGCCTATGAAAAAGGTACCAGGGGCATCTCATGGGGCCCCCTACTGACCCCGGACCCTCGGGCAGTGTTTGAGTTTCCAAATGGTCAGTCTGCCCCTGCTTACAATGACATCAGACACAACTTTAATTGTGGTATTGAACATAGTTACATTTTGTAAAAGAAAAAATAAGGCTACAACTGTCTAAAAAGCCTACAACTAGCGCAGCACATGAAATAGCACACTCTGTAGAACAGATTTCACTACTTATAAAGCACTGGACAACTACAACTGAGCTGTGAGTGCAACTGACCTCCAGAGATCTACAACACCCAAATATCCTTATGGGTTTAATAGGAGCCAATAAGATGCTCATATGATCATAAACTTGTGAAGACATGACATCTACTGGGAGAGCCATAAACTGCACACACGCTACATCCCTCTATAAAGACCAACAACATACAAGGAAACCATGAATGAATGTGCATCGGCACAATACACTTTTTCTTTTCAGCCCTGCTGGTCCTGATCCAGAGATGTACTCTGTACCCATACGAAGATATTTTCAGAATCACACAGGGGTCAGTGGTGAAAGGCCTCATGGTTAAACCCTTGAGATTAGTATTGCTAATATCCTCTGTAACCACAGTAGGAACATCACTGCCCAAACCCACTAGTTCTACTGATTCAAGAACATTGGTGCACACCATATATGATATAGCTATCAGACTGCAGAATAAGCACAACTTTTTAAAACCTTGATACAAATACAATAATACACATGCCACTGGATGGAAGGTACATTGCTTTAGGATCACAAAGCAAAGCCGAGTACTCTTCAGTAATAGAAATATCAGAAATATGAGAACTGTCCTAAAAAACATAAGATGAATTTGAGCAGAGGACAAAGCGTCCCTTGTATTTTAAGTGCAATACAAAAAAAGAATAGAATAGTTTCTTGCAAGCTGATAATGTACAACAGACTCTTTGTATTAATGCATGGAGCTATTTTTAACTAACAAAGAATATTTATACCCCTAGAGCATTTTCTTCCTCTCTTTAAAGAAGAGCTATAAACTGAGTTCTGCTTCCAACCTAAAAACAATTGGGTTAATACAAATAGCATGATTTCTACATGATGCGCTTGGGTAAAATGTCACTCTGGGATATATACTACATGTAATAGAGCATGAGAGATGCGGTGTACAAATTATTTTTGTTGTGCTCTTTTCTTTATGTAGAAAATAAAAAAAGCAGAAAAATAAAATTTCTTTTAACCACACCTGATGTTGACTTACCAATAAGTTTGCACCCACAATTTCCAATAAAACAGCATTATATACATTCAAATTTCATGTCCATTACAAATAAATTTAGTTTGCAATGAAAAGAACTGTAAAGCTCTAAATAATATATGCTAATTAAGTATAACAAAACACATCTATCTTCTATAAAACATACATAATACTCCAGTCAAAAGTTTTTAATTTTTATTCAGCGTGAGTTAATAGAGTTCAGGCACTCGGTTGGAGCCAATGTCATGTGTGGAGCATTTACATTAATGTCATTTATCATCCACTACCCTTTGGAGGACTTAGCTCCCCATGGCTCTCAAAGTACAAAGACATTTGAGAGTATTTCTCCATCACACTGTGC